CAAATTTTAAATTACACATTTTTCTTCGTATCAGCCAGTGCTTTGTATATAAGCCCAAGTAAGGCATATCTTGGAGATATGGAGTTCAGTTCCAGACCACTGCAATAAAAATGAATATTGCAAATAACGGAGTCAAATGAACTCTTTGTGTTCCCAGTGCACGAGTCACATTTACACTACAGTGCAGTCTATTAAAATGTAATAGCATTATGCCTTAAAAAAACAATGTACATTCCTTAATTAAAATATGCCTTACTGCAAGGAAATGCTAACCATCACCTGAGCTTTCAAAAGGCCAAAATCATGACCAAATCACCATAACAAATAATGAAAAAGTTTGAAATATTCCAAGAATTATCCAAATGTGAGAGACAAGAAAGGAACAAATGCTGTTGGAAAAAGGGTGCTGACACTTGATTCAAGGGAGGATTGCCACAAATCCTCAATTATTAAAAAAACAAAACAGTATCTGCAAAACATAGTAAAGCAAAGTACAAAACAAGTATGCCTGTAGATGTCCAAATCATTTTTGCCAAAGTATTTCACTAGTGTAATTATCAAGCAATATATTCTGTGCTATTTCCCACTGAAAGTTCTTAAAGCCTTAAAACTATACATTAAATGGTATAATGTGCCTATTGTTCTAAAGACCTAAATTTGTAACAGTATTTTAATACACACTGAACCATTTTGACCTCTATTATCCGCTCCTACATCAGAATAGTGAGGCGAATTACTTTAAAATTCATTGCTTATTTTGCACGATGGACCCTTTACACTTAATTCAAGGGTCTTACACTAGAGGAACTCAACTTACTAATTCACAGCAAAGTTGTCTGGGTTAGTATTTCTGCACAGGCATGTTAGGAATAAATCAATAGCCGACCAAGTGTTGCTTCCAGCTTAATAATTTTTAATGCTTCTGTCATGGGTGATATAAAAATAACCTAAACAGATTTGAAAATGTATTCCAGTGAGGCTAACCTTTGTTTCCAATCCTGTCTTAGTTATCTACAATAAATATAGGTTGGCATATCAACAATTTACTTACATGCAGTTTCTAGATTCCATATTCCAATGAAGCACAGCTGGAATAACTTCAAACTGTCAGCTTGTGAGGAAACAGCCTTATTAAATTTTAATAGAAAAAAATGTTTCCTTTTGAGACTTGTTTGATAACTGGTTTTCATACTGGTCTATCTTGCAAAGACATTAACTTCAGAATAAAAATCCTTTCAGCAATCAAAGAACATCTCTCAGTGAACAAGCATTTATTCTCTTAGTATCAGGAAGGACAAGTGATCAAAAACCTCCTACGGTAACATATTAACTGACTCCCTTGTCAAACAATGAGTGTTTGCCATGACAACAGATTGTTCTACAGAAGAATACTGGAGATAGAGAGGCCTTTCAAGAACTACCTGATTCCCACGGAAACTTAGAGGAACCAGGCATAGCATCCTAGTGTTCTGAACTGAGTCATAAAGGCCAAATGAGGAAGGGATGGTAGTTGATTGTGTAGAGCATTCCAGGCATAGGAAACTTGTATGATGACAATCTACTTCAAGCACTTCAGCATAGCTAGTGGGTGTGTGCATGTGTATATGTGCACATGCAGTATGTATCCAAGCATGCTGGAGTTTGGGGGCTTGGAGGAGCAGAGAAGGGAAAGGGAAAGAGTACTGAAAAAAAATAAAAGACTTTCATATGTAAAAGGATTTTAGTTTGACCTTGAAAGCCATTGGAGAACACTGAAAGGTTTTAAGCCAAGAAGTTAAAAACAGAACTGCCTGTTAACAAGACCATCCTGGCCCAGGATCACTGCTTAATGAAATTCATTTAGGAAATACTATGAAAAAACTACTATACGCCAGACAGGACTGGAAGCCAGATGGCCATTTAGAAAGCAACTGCAGTATCTTAGCCCGTAAACTAGGAGAGACAGCAGCAGTAATGAAGCAGTGTGGATTTGAGGGTTAAGAGGTGACACTATCAATTCTAGGTAAATCACATTTGATTTAGAGTAGGGAGGCAAAAGAAAAATCTAGAAGGGTTTCCAAGTTAAGGATAATGCTTTTTATTAATGAGAAATGTAAAACTGGTTGTGTTGGTCAGATATTGTGGGGAGAATTTAGATGCGAAACTAATAGTTATAGTAGGCAGTTAGAGAGATGAATCTGGCACTGTAGAAAGAAGTAGGAAATAAACATTTGAGTGTTAGTATATATGAAATAACATGGATGGGTTTAGTATATATGAAGTAACATGGGTGGGGTTAAGTCAATTATTTGTTGTATACTTATCTGCCAAGCTTAAGCAACATGCCCAAGATCACACAGCTATCACATGTGACCCATCCCAAATCGAGCACTTTGACTCCAAGGAAAGAAAAAAAGAAATCAAGTATCACTGCCAATTCTACCACTGGATCACACCCATTTAAGCAAACTTCACTAAAATCAGGTTGGAGGTACTCAGCCTTTTTGATGACCCTAATGGTAACAGGTTACAGATGATTCTTTTTTAGCACAGGTTCAAAATTCTCTGAGCATAACACTAAGATATTTAATCACTGTTTTTGGTCAGTGTTCAGTGTGGTCCAGTTTGATTCATAGCATTACATAAGGTTCCTTATTTCTCCAAGGTTTCCCACAACCACAATATTTTCGTTCCCATAAAAACATGAGCAAACCTTGAGCCTTTGAAATTAGCTGACTTTACTCATCTATAAACTTGTCCTTCAAAACTACTTCAATTTTAAGTTTTACCTTTTCATTCAGGCAAACTTGATTCTTTGCATTTTACCAGTGACTTTATTTCTACCATGAAAGATCATTCTCACACTAGATTGAGATTATGGGAAAGAGGTTGTCCTGTATACTTCCGGCTTCATTGAGGAACATGACTCAGTGCATTTTTCTTGTGTGTGTGTGTGTGTGTGTGTACTGGTACAACCCCCTCTACTATCGTGTAAGTACCCTTGTTGTGTGTGACTAGAAATCATAACATGTTTATCTGTCACTCACAGTAACTGCAAGCTTTGCTCTCAAGCTACTGGGATCCACCCCTCCTGATACTATAATGAACTTTCAAGGCTCCTACTTAAGGTCCAAGAGTGGCCCCTGCCATACTCATGATTCTGGATCTTATTCCCTTATCCACTTGATGATAGCTCTCCAACAACCCTTCCCTCTCTCCATCATCTAATTTCTGTTCTATTGGAAAATGGAGGCATGTAGAAAGGACACAGGAGCCAACCTGAAAGGACTACAAAGTCCAAAGCTGCAACAGTTTGAACAATAAAATAATAGCTTTAGACTATGACCTAAACTATATCAATACTTACGAGTCCACATAGATATAAATGACTTTCTTACAGAGAAACTCCAAATACAAGTAGACAGCCCACCCCCACAAGGGTTTAATTCTTCCCAAACGACTCTGAAGGTGGGCTATACTTAGGAACTTGCTTCCAAATAATGCAGTAGCTTAAGGGAAAAATAACAACTATAAGGATGAGTTTAGGCAAATCCTATCTTAACCAAGTAATCAGTTAAGATTTTCAGTGACATCCTTTGGATATCATGTACCCCTGATATCATGAGAATACACTTCCCCTCTATGGTAATCTTTACCCAAACCAATAATCCCAATCTATTCTTGAGAATAACCACAAAGTTTAAAAATGGGGTATTCTACAGGATACCTGACCAATACTCCTCAAGACTGTCAAAGTCATCAAAAACAAAGAAAGAATGAAAAACTGTCACTCCAAAATATGGAGAGACAACAATTATGTGCAATGTGGTAGCCTGAACTGGATCCTGGAACAGAGTAATGTAAAAATGGTGAGGTTCAAATAAAATCTGGATTGTAATTAATAGTAATACATTATTGTTTCTTACTTTAGAGAAAAGTATAGGGTAATGTGTGAACATGTGAATGGTGGCAGTTTTGGGAATTCTCTGGGCAATCTTTGCTACTTTTTAGTGAATCTATGAATCTAAAGTTATTCCGAAATAATGTGTTTGTCTACCTACCTACCTATAAATGACTGGAATGAATACCCTCTTACAGAATTATATTAAAAAGCATTTGACCATTCTGGCTTAACATTTATCATCTCAAACAGGTTATTTGCTTATTGTAAGTAATCCTCAAATGTGCTTTCAGACCTAGAGGTGAATCCTCATTTAGCCACTCCTGTGGCTCCCTTGGATAGTTTTTATTTCATTAAGTTGTAACCCCCCTTTATGTAAGACAGGGGATATACAGTAGAAGCGAAGATGATAGGGAAAATTAGATTATGCCTGTAAATCTCTCAATACATAACTTCAAACTGCCTTTAATTAAAGCTGTCCACTCTACTCTCCAGAGATAAAACAACACAATTTCCAGAGTAGGAAAGCTACAGGTTATTTCTATTTACTCAGCAGTTATGCAAAAAACAGGGACAGAGTGGAGAGGTTCTCTACCTTCTTCCTTATATCTGTAACACTGGCTGTGGATGCCAGGATACAAAGAGAGGAAATAGACAGGAAACAGACTTATGTTACCTTCATAACTGTGCCTAGAGATGTGTCTTACATTCAGAGCTTGCCTGGACTTTGGACACTTATCAGATATCATTCAATACTGTTTAGATGAAAGCATTCCAAAAAGAAACTTAAGAAAACTTTGTGGTTAAAGGGCACAGTTCTATAACGTGGGTTTTAAGAATAAGTAATTCAGGAAGCACATTATGTAGTAATATTTTACCATATGAAATAAGGTATATAATATTCTGGTGGGCAGTATTTAATTTGTGTACCGTCCTTTTAAAAAAAAAAAGACATAAATATTTTGAGCATACAATGTTATGGTGTTCATGGCTTTATAATGCTTTGAATCAAGGACTCATAAAAATTAGGTGACATTATATGAAAGATAAGTGAATATAAAGAGTTTAAAATACACACTCAAAATAACAAGACTGTAATTAGTTAAAAAAGAACATTAAATCAGAGCTTAAAAATTCTGATTTATTTTTCACAAACACCACTTGATGTTTGACTCACAGGCTTTATTTACATTTGTCTACAGCATCATTTCCTTATGAAATGAACTAGTACAGCTTAAACCAAATGAAATCATAATCATCTTAATTGTCTGTAAACTACTATTAGCTAATTTATAATCCTTGCATTTGCTTAGCACAGCCAAAGTTTTAAATACAGAAACGACAAGAATAACCAATAGTAACACGTAGAATCTAGAAGATCATCTGGGCAATTTAGAAGGTGGACTTTCAAGAAGTCTGAGGCACAATTATAAGAGAGTAAAAGTTCTTGTGCAACCTACAGTAAACGTAGCAAAGAAAATTAAGACATAAGAAAACAAGGGGAAATTCACTGTAAAAATATCACCAAAATATTTCTACGTTAGATATTTTGCTTTCACCTTTGTATCAACTGAAGAGAAAAATCACTCATTTTAAGATAAAAAACAAATACAATTTTGTTTGGTCTGTCTACTAAATATTACAACATTTTTTTACTTGCAGTAGACAATAATGTTAAGGAAAAAGCAAAACAAAAAAAAGTGGGTATTGATCCCCATAACAAAAAGTCCCCAAGCACAATTGTTGATCTCCCTTAATATACTTACCTTGCATTGTCACCGAAGACACTGTTAAGGGAAGCTTTTGTTTTTAAACCAGAAGACAAAACGAAGCTCAAGTGACCAGATTTTAACTTGAGAAATAAAACAGAACTGAGAAGTATTTTAAGCCATAAGTAACTTGAAGTGAACAGAAACAACACATATTGCTGCTTACGTCATACAGAAACAAGAACTCAGTAAGTGTTCATCTGTTACTCAAAAGAAAGTTTTATGCACTGTGTTTAAACATCTCAAGGCAAAATGTTCACTTAAATTTGTAACATCTCTGTTGGTCTTTCACCCAAGCGAAATATACTTTGGAATCTATCTTCAGTTTTTTTGACTTAGCTTGTCTACCCTATCACAGGTGATAAGTGGATTTTGAAAGGATATCACACAAAGCTTCTTAAAATATTAAGATAAACATTCTGGTATGTTTTTCTCATCAGACAACCATGGCAGTGGTGATGAACTGTTCAATGTTCTCTTGCTCAAAATGATGTGTCATGAAAGGATGAAATGAGTAACATTTCTCCTTCAGTTTATAAGATTTTTCTGCATTAAATGTGGTGGAGCAAAAGGTAACACTGGATAAAAGAGAAACAATGATTTTAAGGCATCCTTACTTAGCACAGAAAATTTCAAAATAAATTTCCAGTTGGCTGTTTTACTAGTTTAACTCTTCCTGATAATCACTTTGATACAGATTAACATAAACAGGCTGACTCCTTTTCCAGGTTAACATCAACAGTTTGTTTCTAACTACTTCCCAGTCTTGCCTCCAAGCCCAAAATTCAGGCAAGCCTAAGTAATCCTGTTTTAATTTAACAAGACAGTTCATATTTGGAAATGAGAAAAACAAAGAGTTCAAATTAGGAAACACCATTTCATGTCATAGCTGAGATGGTTTTAAATGAAGCAAATAGTTGTAAATAATGAATGATAAACAGCATCTATTTTGGATAGTATGGCTTAAAATACTATTTACTTTTAATTTCACAGATCAACACAGCTGTATTGTTCTGAAAAGCAATGAAAGGCATGCACCTCTACTAGCAGATTTAGCACTTCTGACCAAGTAAGACACCAACTTCTTAAAAAATATGCTTCATGCACTGTACTGGATTTTTTTTTAAGATGTAAATTTTAATACATTATTTCTCTTTTGAACTTGAACGGGAACCAGAATGGGATGATCCAGAAGATGACCTGTGGTGCCTGTAAGACATAATAGAGAAAGTAGTTACCTAGTAAGCTGGAGCTGGTATCAGCATCCATTTGTAAGACAATGAGAATATAAAAAAAAACTAAACCTCATTATGCTGGCATACAAATTTATACATATATAATTAACTAGTGTTTAGATGTTTGATGTGAGCCCAATAATGACATAACCATTAATTAAAATTCTCTGCAGTTTAAAAATATATTCTCATTTCAAGATATAGCCACCTGTCAATTATTTAAAGTAATGAAGGAGAGCCTTGCAAAAATGTATAAAACTAAAGATAATATACAACATAGGCATATAAACTTGGTAATGGAAGTGTGATTAAACCAATCTCTGTGATACACTACAGACAGTGTGGTAAGTCTCCATGTAAGACAGATACAGCAAGGTTTCTGACTGTGCATATGAGAATATATAATCATCAATAATTACATTTTGGAAATCTAGGGCTATATTCATGCAGCTAATATGAATAAGTCAATATATCAACCTGGGTAAAGTAGTGGTGTTCCGAGGGGTTGGCCCTGGGCTCAGGGTTGTTTAGTGTTTTCACCAATCACCTGGCTTATGGAATAGAGAACATGTTCATTAAGTTTAGATGACAACAAACTAAGGGGATTTTATGTGGCTAAGATAAAAATTTGCAGAAGTGGTAAGAAAGCAACAGAATGAATTTCACTCAAGTATGGAGAAGCTTTTAACAAAGGAATAAATGCACAGAAACAAGACTAGTTGTGTGTAACCTTAATAGCTGAATTTTAAAATGTGAAGCAAAAACTAATCACTCTGTACAAATAGGAATCATGAGGTAATCCTACTACTGAACCCAGCAATAATCAGACTTTACTTAATCCTACTTTTATAAGCTGATGATATGAAGATTTGCAAAGATTAGTACAAAGAAAGCCATTAAAATGCCTATATAATTAGACACTGAAAACCAAGAGAAAGTTAATAAAGCTGAGTAATTAGCCTGTTGCAGAAAAGGCTGATAGTCAACACTTGCACTCTCCAAATTTAAAAAATGTCAATACGGATAAAATAATTTAGTAAAGGTCTTTCTCTTAAAAAAATAAAAAAGGTTCAGACAGCAAGATGAAATGTATTAGCTCCAAGAACAATTTCCTTACAGATAAAGGGCATGAAACAATAATTTGCTGTGGAAATGCATTTACATTTAAGTGAGGACAGATTTCCAATGATCTAAAATGGTTATTTTTTTACTAGATGTCGTAGGATCTTATGATGTCTAATATTTAATGTAAAATTAATAGCATAAATTTATACATATAAAAATCAACCTCTAAATTACTTATACGTACAGCTGAATTAAAATCTTAAAATATAGAAATAACTGAGAATTGGCTATAATAATTACATATGAAAAAATTTAAATAAAATGATCAGATAGTGAAAGAGTGGTTTGAGCTGCAACTTTCTCAATAACCTCATCAAAGCACATAGAAACAAAGTAATCTGTTTTTAAGTTCAAAGTTGAAAAGTATCATTTAAAGTTGGGACAAAGGTGATATAAAAATCTAATTATTGAGTAGGAAGTTTAATCTACTGAACAGACTTAAGAACACCCATTCTTATTTCTACAGAAACCCAAACCTTTCGGGTGACCGTGATCTTGTTCGTCTTTTTTTGCGATCACCAGATGAAGAAGATCTAGAACGACTTCTCTTTCTGTTTCTCTCAGGAGATGATGATGAACTTGAATAAGATCTTTTTCGTGGGGAAGAAGAGCCCCTGTGGGACCTGGAGCTGGATCTTCATTGATTAAGAAACAAATCAAACATTTTATTAAAAGAAGAAATGAGGCAGATTGTTTAGTTAACAGATAGCTCCAAAAATAAACAAGATTATAACTGAAAATTTTATAAGAGGGAATACTTACTGCTTACTCAACAGAAGACTTCTGGTTCAACCAACCATGAAAACAATTCTATTTAAATACAATTTCTGTAATTTCATCTTTTTAAAATTCTAAGACAAATGCTCATTTATAATTAAAAACCAGCTTATTATGTTTAAGTGGAATTTTTTATTTTAAGACTTTTATTTAAAAGTAAACATAAGCAGCAAACCACTGGGTAACCGTGCATTTGCACAATTTTATGTCTAGTAAATACATCCTTCCATTTGGAGAAAAAAGTTCCTGAGGAAAATAAACACAACAATTTCTCATGGAAGTATGCAACTTATTAGTTAAGTTGCTATAGAAAACGCAGGGATAGGGTAAGGAATGAGAAAACATTAACTATTAAATTTAAAAAAAAAAATCGAAGAAAAAATAAAATTAGTAACTTTAAAACTTATTTTAACAATATTTTTATGAAGGACCACTACTCATGAAATATGAAGTGTTGACATTCACATGTTTTAGGTAGAAGTAAATGTGTAAATGTTTAAAGGCAAATTTTTTTCTTCATTTACATATTTTGGTTGAAGGAATTTAGCTCAAACTTCCCAAAAAATTCACCTTTGGGCTTAAAATAAAATCAGAAAGCCCAAAAGGAGAATTCTTTGGAAAGTTACAAGCAATGATAAAATGTTTGTAAAGAATATGAAGGTTGTTCTGTAAATCTTAATTACAGTGCTTCCAAAGGAACTAGAACTTAAAGATCTTCACCTAAGCAGCACTCAGATAAACAATGGTAATACATAATAGTGACAGTAAACTCATTTGCTCTCTATTTTGTATTTTAATATAAGTGTATCATTCTTTCTTCAATGTGTTAAAACTGCAGTTACCCTCTAATGCTGCTGATTTGGCTCTAATAAGCTATTAAGTAGTTATTTTACCAAAAGGGCTAAAATTGAACTTATGTGTGAATTCCCGCACAAGTGGAAATTTCAGTAATTTTCTTATTCATGTTATATACCTTTAATAGGTCAATATATTAACATAAAAAGGCAGCACATTTTGACTAAGTTTTGAAAAAAACTTCAAGACTGTAAAGACTAATGTCTTATTTACTTGCCTACAAATTGTTTCTCTCTATAAGTCTGACTAAATGGAACCTGAAGTTGTAATAAGCTATTAAGTAGTTATTCCACTATCCTGAAGACTACACAAGTAACTAATCACACTTATTTCATTTGTGGAATTTAGTGTGTTTGTTCCACACTTACTGTTTGTAACAGTCTAGTAGTATTACAGAGAAATGGAAATGTGTATAAAAACCTCCAGAAACTTTATCTGATATAAATGGCAAAGTTGTTTCTGTAAATAGCCAAACAATTGCCTTCCAAACAATATCTGCTTTTTTGAGACAGGGTTACTTTTCTTCCTTTAAAAATGAAGTAAACTTTTTCTTTGCATATCTCTAATTTTATGTGAACTACTACTGCAAACATAACTTTAATGTACTAGAGATTTGGTCATAAGACTTGGCTCCATCTCCCTATTTCATCACATTTAAACTAGTACAAAAATAACAAAGCTTGCATAATGCAAAATAGCCACCTTAATTCAATCATGGGAATGTCTTGGCACACTGCTGGCAATGGAAACATTTCACAGTGAGAAATTAAGCTGAGGCAAGAGCATTAGTTTTCTAATGCTAAAATAAAATTGACAAGTAGAAGCAAAATAAGAGGAAAAAAAGCAACGCCTTCTGCAGCCTTTAAATATTTCCTCTCTCTGCTTTACAGAGAGATGCTACCTCATTCACCTTGATTTCGACCCACGAGATCTCGAACGTTCTCTGGAACTCGAACGAGATCTTGACTGCGAACTGGAAGAACTTCTTGAACGGGACCTGGAACAACATGGAAGGATTTTTTTTTCCAGGACCACTTAAGTGAGCTTTGTGATATGAACATTGGGAGAAAGATATCCATTGGGAGTTCTTTTTCATATAAAAAAGTACCTATTTGAGAGATTTTAAAAACACAGTATTTTAAGGTAGCTAAATTTTTCATTATTTTAATATTTATGCCAAAACTTAAGGAAACAGCTAACTTTTAAAAATAATCAACTATCACTTTCCAAATCTACAATATTCTAAAAATCCCTGAAGACTATACAAATAACTCAGTACTATACTTAATTAACACTGAATGCTTTATGTTTATAAATATTTTAAAGTAAACCAGGACTTACATATCCAGGAATATTGAATGTTGCAGTTTTTATTTAACTTCTCTGAAATATCTCTATTTCCCTTATAAAATCCTTTCTATTTCCTTAGCCTCTAGCTAGCATGAAGCTTTCAGTATGTTGACATTTATGTGTTTAACTCCTAAGGTTTTCTGTCTACTGCAAAATTAAATAATTAAAGAGAAAATACATTAACAATCCTGTCACTGAATTATGTTACTGAAAAATGACAAAAGGGGAAACATGGTTCTCTGAATTTTCAATGTCACAAATGAAATAAATTTCATTCATTAATCTAATACACATCTTTGTCCCCTAAAACAATTTTCAGAAAAAGATTATTATATTTTCACTTTAAAATAACTCTTTACATTATTTTAAGTTTTCAGGTTTTACAGTATTTAAAACTATTAAGTACCCAATTAGCTACTATTTTACATCTATATATCTAAGTACCATTAAAATTCACTGCCCATGGTTTCAATGAACTGTGAATAGGTATGTAAGACACTGCTTTACTCACCTAAAATTTTACTTTTATTGCTGATTACACAGGGAATATTTATTAGAATTCAACATTACTAACAACAAAATATTCAAGTTTAACAACTAGCTAAACTGATTTATTCTTGGACATCTCAAAATTCTGAGCATTAAGTAAACATGACATGACTGAACTTACATCTTTAGTCAGAGTACCTGTACCAAAGTAAATTGTTAAAACATGACGGTGTAATAAGCAATGATTTTACTAATGCCTGGAAAATTCTTATGAAGACCTTTATCATCAGTGAAAATATATCAATCTCTACTTCACTTAAAATTTCTATATGTAAACTCTCTAGATTATTAAATATCACTGTACACAATGATTTAACTCAGTTTTCAGTCTATTTTAATAAAAGGCATAGTGCTAAAATGGACTAAGAAGTTTCATTTTAAAATTCTGCATTTCTGAAAATACTGGACAGTAAGCTCATTGCACTAAGATAGGAAAAATTATCTTTTAAAAGGTGATTTGAGTGAAATCTCTAAAAGAAAAAGGAAAGCTTATTCAGTCAAGAAAAATGAAATTTATAAATAAAGAAGTTAGATACTGACATTTTGACTGATGTTACCCTTGACCTGTACCCGTTTACCTGGACCTAGACCTTGAACTTGAGGGGGAGGATGAGCGTGATGAAGATCGTGAATGTGAAGACCGAGACTTTGAGCGACTTCGTCTATTAGATTTCTTTTTATTACTTTCTTCTTCTTCACTGGCGTCAAGATTATATTTTGACAGATCAGCATCATCTTCATCCTCATCCTAACAAATATTCAGTCAATTACTAAGACCGCCAGATATTAATGCTACCTACTGGAAATGATGAATAGTTCCATGTACTTATCTCCATGTATTACTAGTATCTCAGCAAATTCACTCTCAGTCCTGATTTGACTACTATATTCCTTATCTTCAGCTAAAGAGACAGGAGGACTGTCTTAGATATTTCAAAGAAGTAAACCCAGAGGTTGTACTCATCTTTTTCTATCACAATGTATTACCAAGAATTTTTAGTTTTATGCCCTTTAAACTCCTTGAGTTCACATCTCTTAATCTTGAGTTCAGAACTTCCTTCTTTTCTCTAGTATATTACAGTAACCTTTTAGGTGGTCTCCTTAACTTTGGAAATCTTTTCTGCCTCCCCAATATCTAAATATACTGACAATCATCACTCTGAAATATATAGGTCAGATAAATATACTTCATTCACTTCTTAAAAAATTTTAAAGTTACTCTACACTAATTTGCTTAGTTGCATATGAGCGGTCAGACCCAAAAGTACCCTTAAAATGGATCTGTAAATTAGACCATCAACTTTACACTCTGGCCCCACAGAGCATCACCACACCTGATGCAGTCGCTGTTCCCCTCACCATACTCTCCCTCCTCTGCTCTAGCTACATTAGCGTATATATAATATTTTTTAATGTTGCTGGCTTTTTCTTACTTAAGGAACCTTTATTTAGTGTTCTCTCTGCCTGAAATCGTTCTGATCCCAGCTCTTACATCAATCATTCAAGGCTCAGCTCAAATTTCACATCTTTAGAAATTTCCCATCCACGGCAACCAAAGAAACTCCTCTACTGATCTGTTATCACAACATGTGTCTTCATAACATCACTTCTATCTAAATCATCTTGTTCATTTATGTCCTCTCCCACCCTAGAATTTAAGTTCCATAAAGGGAAGGGTGGCTGTGTTTAAGTTATTATTGTATCACCAGAGCCAGACTAGTGCTTGGCCAAGTAGAGGCTCAAAACCTTTGTGAGAACAAATGAACACATAGGAAAATTTATCTTCACAATGTACCAAAGGTCATCAACATTCATGTTATGTCATAACTAAAATAAGACAAAGGGTAATTAGGACAAGGAAATAATTTACCTCATCTAATTTATATTTAGAAAGATCTTCATCCTCATCCTCTTCTTCTCCCTCAGATTCTTTATCTTCAACTTCCTTTAAAATAGATCCAGGACCAACTGCCTTCCCTCTGTATTTTTTCTTTTTACGTCCAAACTAGAAAAAAGTTTTATAATATTTCTGTCAGCTGAAAGGCATTAAAATTAATACTTTCTTAAGCAATTATTTTTATGTATTTAAGTTACTATGTATTAAGTCGATTATGATTTCCTACAAAATGGTAAGCTGCTGTAAGACTCAAAGAGTACTTCAAAAAATAAGATAGATTTAATATTTTCCTTTGCATTGAAGATATTTTCTAAGATATTTTTCTAACTTGTATTCAACCTGCACACTGATGTATAGCTTACCTCATCATATTCACCATCAGATTCCTCTCTTTCTATATATTCAACATTTTCTCTCTCATTAAAACCACCACCATATCCTAAAAAGGGGGGACGGACATAAAGTTATTCTATGATAATTCTTTAAAATAACAACATATTAAAATCACCTCCAAGCAACTAGAGAAAAAGTCTTATCAAGTACATTTGCCTATCCATCTAATAAATTACTAGTGTTTAAATAAGCATATTAAATATCACTACAGCTAAGTCTCAAAATTAGCTGGAAAAGTCCTGTGGCTATACTTATAGTCCTTCTCTATTTCAAAATGTCCTCTGTGACTTAGGTAATGCATGAAATTCATGAGTGGAACACATCTCCTCAAGTCCCTGCTATAACCACATTTTAAAAGGACTTTTCCTATGCAGTGTATCACAATTATTCTGGGAGAGAGCTTCATAAGAATCAAGAGCAAAATGTCACTGTTTAACAGTTGCAGATAGGCTGAAATCCACTTATATATTGAAAATTTGCTAGGCGAAAATGCAGATGGAGCTTGGAAAATTCCTAACTATACAGAAACATAATGATATGATAAAATACATCCATAATGGTTTTAATGCTACTCCTTTCAATACATAGTTAAGTCAACTTAGGTTCTCTGAAATAGCCAGTAAGCTTTTAAATTGAAAGTATTCTACTGAAAAATAATCAAGATCAGTAAACCATAATTCTTTGATGTTATAACTAACATCTACAATTAGACTGCCAAGCTTTTGACAAAGGCTTAACAGAAATTGGAATAAGAAAGTGAGTTAGTTTTAGACAAAGTGAGATGAGATTTTGAATAAAATTCCCACTGAAAAATAGTAGAGAAGTATGTGGTCAAGAGTAATACAACCTATCTCACATATTCTAGAACAAGAGCAGCAGATAATGGCAGTGATTCCAGGATTCAAGGATTTCATGAATAAGCAAAATGTTAAAAAAATTAATAAACAAAATTTAAAAAGTTAGTATTTCTGACTAAATGTGTCAGTCACAGGCATTTAAAAAGTCATCACCTACACAACCATCATTTCATAGCACAGCCACAAATAAAAAGCATGTCACTGTCCCAATAAATCAACAGAATAATGTAATATAACAAATTTAACTGAAAAAAACACCACATTAATACAATAATACAACATCATTTATTTTCATTATACTTTGTACCTATGAAAACTTCAATGTATTAATTAGTGTTTATCCCTTGAAATACTTGCATATGATCCCTTTCCTCCTCCTCCTACCTTGTTTCAGAGACAATATGAACTCCAAATGTAATAGATAAGAATTTTCTTTTATCTGCATATGACAAGTAAGTGAAAAGTGTACTAAATCCAGTAATAACTTTCTCTTGGTAAAATTTGGCTCTAGTTTTTCAGAGTATCAAATATGAAATGCCAGAAACAATTAGAACTGGGTATATGTTCACCTCGAGATTAACTCATATTCAATACTAATTCTGGATTACAAACTGTAGAATGTTACAATTCAACAATATGGAGTTTTAACTGATATATTTAATATTATCAGCATGTCCTCATATTAAGATAAGAGTAGTTTGATAAACAACTTTTAAGTTTGATAAACAACTTCAAAGTACCTAGAAGTAGGTGAAAAAAAAAATCCATGGAATCCAGATGAAAAATAATTCACATGAGGAAAAAACAAAGCAAACTGAATAAATAACAATACAGCAGCACAAAGATATGCCTAATAAACTAAATTGTTTATATGTGGAAATATGTGAAAATATTAGAACAAACCTATTTGAAATTGACACCTAGACTTTCAGTAGAACTGTTTTTTTCACATTTAGTAATCTACAACTGAAAGATGATATCATTCTCCATAGAGAACTAATTCTAAAATAAATTATGCCAAGATTTAGAAGTCAACAACAAACTCATACAGGTAATTTTGCGTATCTAAGTAAAATTACTTTAAAATGAATTATCACAACAAATACAGAGCTATTCCCATGTTCTCTCATATAGGCCACAAAGAAATTAAATAGGTTCACAACACAGAGATTACTAAAGTATGTTGTGTGAACCCATACAACAAATTCATCTCATGAACATTTTCCCAGAAGGAAATACACAGGAAATACAGTAATTAATTAAGAACAAAATGTAAAAATGTGAGCAAAGGCCAGTAAAGAATCAAACACAGGTTTAAAACAGTCCTGAATTCGGGTGGTGACAATGGAAATGAAGAGAGAAAAGGGGAAAAATACAACATATGTTTCAGATGAAGAGTCAAGATACTAACCTGATAATTTTGTGATTGTACATTTTGTACAATTCAACTTCTGACAACTTATCCCAAGGAAAAATTCAAAAGAATAAAAACCACGATATATTAAGGTTGTTCCTACTTTAGTTATCCTTAATGGTTCAAAAAAAGAAAAACTCAAAATAGAAATAACCCTGTAATCCAAGCTAATTACTATACAATCATTTCATGGGATAATGCAGAAGTCAGCAACCTTCCAGAAGTTTTCTTTTATTAACAGCTTGTCCCATGCATAGGAAGTGCTACCCTAAACTCTGCACTTCCTTATTACAAGAGTGAAGAGACAATGAACAACAATATAAGTTAATTCACACCAACTGTGATCAGCAAAGACAATTACTTAAGAGTCAGATGAATAGCAAAGGGTTAAGATACCAGGATGACAGAAAAAAGATAAAGCAAAGTGAGAAGGAATCAAACTTCGATGATTTCAGTTGTTAGACCACAGCCCTTATGATAGTGAAACTTTAGAGGAGTCAGTCACAAAATAGGTCAAAGAGAATATGAATGGGTAAAGAGGCTTTTATGGATTACAATTTTCAAAATTTACAATTTTTGGACTTTACCTTAAAAGCAATCAAAGTAGATTTAAGCAAATGGAGTGTTTAACTTGAAAAACAAAACAAAAAACTACTGGCTACAAATGGGTAGGAAGGAAATGTGTACAGACACCAACTAGAGAGCTATTTTATTCAAAGAAGACATAGCGTTATCTCTGTCTAGTTTAGAGATGGGAAGGACTTCTTTTGGGGGTAAAGGGAAAATTAAAAAGAAATTACTAAGAAGGACATCTAGGTTTCTGGTTATAGAACAACCATATGGTGGGTGGTATTAATCATAAGAGATCACTGAAGAGAGTCAGGTCCTGGGGAGAATCATGAATTCAGTTTTGGTATAATGAGTTTGACATTTACATGGTGGCAATACTGAATAGGCAGCTGGATATATGGGTCAAAGAAGTCTGAACTGAAGATATACATTTGGGCATGGTTAAACTTAGAAGAAAAAGCCTAGAAAACATAGAACAGAGAAACCTTAGGGATTGCCTCTTAAAGAATCCCAACATTCTGTGGACAGGCAGAAGGCAGATGATGATTAAACTAAAAAGGAAACAATAAACAACCAGAGGTGTGAAGGAGTAAAAAGCTGAAAAAATTAAATTAAAAAAAAAAAAAGGAGACTCTTACTAAAAGTCCTTAATTTACTTTATCAATACAGAAGGAGAATTGCTTCCTGAGAAAAGAGGAAGAGTGAGGTAGGATGTGAGGGTTGGAAAAGTCAAAATATCTAGGACATTAGGTTATAGGTTATAATGTTCTCACATGTGAGACTATAAACAAAAAAAAAATTAAAATAAAAAAGGAAGCAGAAGGATAAAACTAGAATTTCTGTTATAGTCTGGAAGGGCTGTTCCAAAATGCCAGTGTACATTTAGTGGGGTCTCTTATCCCCAGGAATCAAACACACAGTGGAAGTGAAGTGGTTTAAAGTCAGGAAGGAAAAGAAGACAGGGAATAGTTTACTAAGTCTAGGTCTGACCACATGGCTATATATAAAAGGAAGACTTTGATTATATGATTTATGAGTCACTGAATGAGAAAATTGGGCTTGAAGTATACTGGTAATGTGGTTGGGCTGATTGCTGATAATGAGAAAACTATATTTTATTAGGTAAACATTTTCACCTCACAAATGACAACACACAGAGACAATTGTAAGCTATTATTTAGGCTAGAGGTTACCAAACACCATCTGAATCACCTGCAAATATTTGGGAGCCAATCCCAAAAAGCTTCAATAGCTCTGTTTTGGAATCTGTATTTTTAAGGTTTCTCAAATGGTTTCTAAGTTTGAGAATTATTGCCTAAGTTTAGATGACTGCTTAAGAGATGTGTCTGCCTCTTTCTTTGGTCATACTAGAGTATCAAATGAATAAAAGAATGGTTATTACTCTGTCATTAACAACAACAAATATCTAAATCATTGGGGAGAATGTGAGAATAAGCACTTCTGTAAGTACTCTAATGTCATTATTAATTAGGATAGGGCTCCCTAATGCTGTACTTTGTAAATTTGAAATTATGAAATGAAAGATGACTTTGTGTATGAATGCAGAATAGATTGAATCCTCAATTCCTGTCTTCTTATAAGATGATACAACTTATCAATTCAATTTTAAGTTCGTTTCGTATCACTTAGAATATGTTTGTATCTTACCTGTTCTCTCTTCTAACTTAGCATACTTCGGAGTATTACACATGTTACACTCTGATCTTCTGGCCCAATTCACGTTACTGCAACTTTAGAAGTGAAAAATATCAAATCAGTGGACTATAATACAAGAAAAAAAGTAAATTTTTGTAAACATTTTACATAGAATTTTAAAATAAAAACAAGGAAATCACTATCACAAAGAAGTGCTTACTAAGGGTACCGCAAACAAAGAAAATGTACCAGTGTACATTTTTTGAAGACAAACTCAACTATTTAAGGAAAAGCAAAAGCTACACAGTATATGGAGTGTGCCTTTTTCATTTTATGAGAAATAAATGACAAGTTATATCTCACAGAGATTCTGATGACTAAGCGCAAAAAAATACAACATAAAATTAAACGTTCATTAATTTCTAGTCTCTGAATTAACCTCAAAAAACAGTAAGGTTATACCCTACAAATAATGTTATTTATTTTTTTGGAGGAATCAGTTTAAGTACAAATCCCATAGCATACAAAATCCAGTGATTTACTCTGTTGATAACATCAGAAATTTCGGTAAGACCCTCTTTCATATGTGTATTAGATATGCATAATAGAAAAGATAGAAGTTGGAAGTCTACAGAACTTGAAAATCAGAAGTATTAAGAAACCAACCTAAAGAGAAATAATTATTTATGGCACACAACTTATGATTCTGAAAATTATTCTGTAAACAGGCAAAATGAATTTTGTAGTATTTCACGTTAATGATAGCAGCTAAAAGTTTCTGAGATTTTTTTCAATTATAGAAAGTAATAGGCTTTAGTATTTTTAAATACCCCTCCCTCCTCTTTTGGATGAGCTCATCTTAAGCATTTGTCTACTAGTATACAAAAGCCAACATAGTTAACAACTAATATTACTATTAAAAAATAGAACTTAGAAGGTCCTTATATATCAGGTACAGACTATATAGCAATCAACAGACCTTTCTTTGGTTTGTCAATGTGACTTATAGGAATTGGTAATAGTAACAAGTAGCGGCTAGATACATTATTATGAAGGAAAATTTGAAACACGTACGTTTTGCACTGCCAGTCATTAGCACTAAATAGGCCTCGGCTTTTTTCCGCAAGTGTCTTTCCTATTTCAGTGCCCCCAGCTTTCATCATTTTAGCCTCTGTTGTTTTCTCTGAAAACAGAAAAATAATACAACATGAATCTGGGGAAATAAAGAAATGATCTGTATGTTCAGTCTTAATAGAAGCTTCCTTAAATGCTTACCCCGGCCACATCTATTACAGCTGGTTCTTCTAGCAAAGTTTACATTTCCACATCTGAAAATAAAGTAAAAAATACTTACACAGATATCTTTTAAATCTTTATAGTTTTAAATATTCTACACACACTATTTTTAATGTGTCCTCACTATATACCTGGATCCAGAACTTCCACTGCAACTTCTACAAAACAAACAAAAATCAAATACCTCACAACTTGGTTGGAAAAACACAGAATTTGAAATCACAAGTCTAGGATAAGAAACTCCAATCATTCAATCACTTATTAGCTATGTAATCCTGGTAAAATCACTTAGGATCTCTGTGCCTCAGTGTCCTCCTACTAGCACATACAGTTAATAATAGTGAAATCCCCTTGCAAAGCTGAAAGTGAGATTTTACTCTAATAATTACTGATAAGGCACTGGGGAGTTAAAAAAAATTAACGACTTCAAAGTAACTCCCAGTATAGAAAAAAATATGTACAAAAATGTGTTACGTGTAGGAAATACAGAATTCTAAGGGTAGACTAATGGGGAGAAAAATAATTAAGTCAGATGGCTTCATGGATCTTGATAAAACATTTTTACAAGTAGGCAGTGGGATGGTAAAGAAAGAGGACAGGTTGTACTGACTAAAGGTATAACTAGGTTCAATAATTATAAGGAAATTGACTTTTTGGGGGTATTTATAAAACCTGTGAAACCTGGTTGAAACAAGATAACCAACCACAACCAATAACCCCAATATACAAGTAACACAGTATCACTTTATGCTTATATTCAGCAAACTTAATTAAAAATGAAAAAATTACCAGGTTCCCTAACATGGTTTTAATAGTGCCTCTGCATATTAGTAAAGTATATTAAATGACATGTAAAACTTAAATTTTAAAAAGCTGATTGCTTTTCTCCCATTAAGAAGTATGGACGGGACACTAAAATGAAGTACTGCAAATAATTTTTAGGTTGTTTTCCCCATAAATAATAACCTTTATGACCCAAATAAGCATTGAAAATTCATTATTATGAAAATGTTTTTCTGGACTTAATACACACTGCAGAAATAATACTCTACTCATATATTTGCAATTGAGTTGTAATGCACTCTTAGAGACCTTCTTCAAATATTTGGGTGTGCTGTCGTTAATGACACAGTCAAAGCACATTATTCTACAAGTGACCAACAACACAAAAGTCTGAAGTTGTTGTTCTATTGCTTTTGAATGTTTTCAATAGGGTCTTACCACTCAGTACGATGCTATCCATAGCTCTGACTAGTTCTCTTCAATGCTACTAGATTCATTTGATGTGTCAGGTCATCTTAAGCTTTACGTAATTAATAGCCATCACTTTATGATGTATAAAACCCCAGTATTTAACTTAAAACTGCTTAAAACGTGGGCAAAAGACAGATACTGGAGAAATATGGACTTAGTCTCCTTTAATGACATGAGATGATTTAACTTTCTAAAATCACTATTTGCTACATTTCATTGCTCTACACACACTATGCTATTTCATGTAGTCATTATAAGGGAGCTAATGTATCCCAGTTTCTGTTTCTTAGCAGTTACAGTTACATGGTCTATGATCAATAGGACTGGAATTAAATCCAAGTTTATTTTCTTCAATGTTTTTCCTCTTTACTACCGTGAACTCTCTATCTGTGGCTAGCTTAGGGATAAGAAATCAAAGGTTTTTATTTAAACATGAGTTGTACATACAATTTTTGTGGCAATTACTTTCCATAGTAATCTCCCGGTATTTCCAAATAGATACACCTATTTGAGCACCCTTCACTAAAAACTCACAATTTAATAGAGCACACTGGGTCAGCAACGTCAAAAAGCACAGCTACTAAAGCACCTGCTTCACTGCTGTAGGCATCTCCAGGGCTGCGCAGGCAAGAACACAGGCCTCTCGCCTTTGGCTCTAACGAGGCGAAAGGCTAGTTCAGTTCTTATGAGGAAATTAAAGGTCAGTAAAGACAATAAATCATAATTTCCAAAACCCAAGAAGGTAGTAGTGTTGGGTGGGTGGGTGGGCAGTATAAACAAATACAGAGAAAAGTCCGAATTAAAACAAAATGCAAACAAAAAAAAAACACCCGGTAACTATGAGAGGCAAAAGGTTGAGTTCGAGAAGGCAACGATCGAACAAGAGTCAAGTTCTGCAGGGAGAAAGTCACGTGGGGGAGATCCAATACCAAGCTGGCCTTGATTAAAGAGATTGTCTTATCGCTGAAACCTGGCTGAGGCGGGTATCGGGTGTGGGGGCAAACGGCGGGCCATCTCGCTCCCCAAGAAGAGTGGTGTTTGGGATAAATGTGTCGAGGAAACTCTGGAGGCATACTCAAAACAAAGGCTCCCGAAACACCTCATCGTGGCGAGACTGGAAACCTTCTTCCAGCCCGGGGGCCAGCGGTTTGCCGCCTCAACCCGGCTGAAGGCACGGGAAGAGATCGTAAAAACGAAAAACACTGAATCGACCTCAGAAAACCTCCTTCGATAAGTCCCGCTTCAATTCGGGACCCTTCCCGAACTCACTTTTTGTCAGGGCAAATCCAGTCACCGTCACTGACTCGGAAATTCTTGGTCGACATCTTAGGCGCCGCCACCAAAGCCACCCGCAGCTACGTCTTCACAGGAGGAAGCGGGCCGGGGACTTTCGACACTCTGAGGCTGTCCCCATGCCGCCTGACGCCAACTAACCACCGCCACACGGTTTAATAATGAGGACGCTTGGCCGGAATTGAGTTTGAACGTTGTTATGCAGAGTAAGATGCCTTGCGATTTTTTTTCTGCACAAAAGAGTTATAATGCAAATATATTTCTGGAGCTACAATAATAGGCATCGTAGGGACAGCCCAGGCTGGAGGCCTTCGTGGCACTAGAAACCTCGGAGAGCCCCCTACAGGCGGGAGGTCCCCGAAAGGAAAGTACTTCCGCTCAGAAGGGCGGAGCTAGGGAGACGACGCGGAAGTGACGGTTCCGTTTGGACCCTGGAGTGGCGGGTTTCTTAATCAGCTCGGGGAGGTTGAGGCCGAGCGGGCTATCCAAGTCTTTAGGAAAGTTCATAAAAGACTGAGAACTCTGTTCTTTTCTTATGAGCGCGGAATGATGTTTAGAAGCATTGTGTTTTGGTACATAAGTAGATAAAAGAGATAAGCAATGTATACATGAGCATTAATCAGGAATTTTAGAACTAAGATTATTGCCAATGTTGGTAATATTACCTGTGTGTTTTCCGATCCCATGTCCGTGCTTTTCTACCGTTTTCCGTAATGCTCTCCTATATTTTGGCTTATTCCTTTGCTTTTAAAAAATACACTTTATGTACATGTATGTTTAATTCGATAGACTTGAATTACAAAAGTAGTTTGTTTTGTAATCATCTGCAATTTCTTTTTTTCACTCAACAAAATGCTTCTAAATTCATCCTAGATTATTGTGTTTATTTCTATGTAGCTATAGTTCCTTAATTTTACTGCTGTATACTGTGACACCTTACTCTGATAGTTTATCCTTTCTATTTCCCAGGTTTTGTCCTTATAAACAACACTGGTATGAGTATTATGCATGGATTGGAAGACAAAAATGCAAGAATTTTTCTTAAGTGCAGTATATACCTGGAGAACATTTTGAACTACTTTCACTTACAATAACTGCTTAAAAGTCTTTGATCATTGTAACACCTTAAGTATTTAGGGGTTTTCAGCTGTTGAGTTTTTTTTCTTGAGAAATTATTATATTTTTCCAGTTCTTTGTATATTGGTAACTGTAGTGTTTTTTTTCTTGGACATTTTGGATGTTATGTTACATACACCCTGGGTACTGTCAAAAGCCTTTAAGGAATGTTGATTTGTTTTAGGAGTCAGTTCACTTTGGTTACAATCATAAATTCAGTCTGACATCCTGTGGATGCTGTTCCATATCAGTTCCATTTTTCAAAGGCTGATTTGAGTTAAGCTGATTTGAGTCTGTCCTATACATAGGACACTCAGGGATTTGGGAACTTGGCCAGTAGTAGTTTAAATTGTAATTAAGTACACTTATCTTTTGCTATGCACCTTTGTGTCTGTCCTGCAGATGGTCAATTCAAGTGTGAGCACAGAACTTAAGTGGTTTCATAGAATTAGGGAGTCCCCTTCTTCAGCTCCCCTTTTTGATATTCCTCTCATCCTTTTGCAGGGCACTCTTGCCAGAAATGCAATGCTTCTCGGAGTTTTAGCTGCTTGCCATAGCTGCAGCTTCTGACTAGGGCTGACCCTGGGGCAAAGAGGTGAGAAAAAAGAGAAAAAACAGTGGATTCCCTCCATACTCTCTAGACCACAGAGGCCCCCCACAGTTACCTTGTCTAGAAAGATAGGTTTTTCTCTTGGTGATGTCTCCGTCCAAGCATAGGCCCCAATTCTCAGGTCAAAGTTCAGAGGGAAAAAAGGCCCCATATTCCTCCAGTCTTTGGCTCAAAGGAAACTCTTTTCCCCATTCATGTGTTTGAAATATGGATTTCTCTTAGTTTTTGCTGCCTATGCTGCCACCACACCTTTACTGGGTGCCAGTCCACAGGTCAAATCTGTAAGAGGAAACAGGAAAAAACACAGCATTTCTCCAAGTTTCAATTCTTCTCCCCTATCTGCCTGTTCTTACTTACTTTTGAGAGTCCTCTGGTGGTTAGTTGCCTGTTATGTTTTTGTCCTGAGCTTTTAGTTATAATCAATAGGGAAGACAGGCTGTAGTGGTTTTAATTCATCTTGGCTGGCCCTGCAAGTCAAGGAAGCACAAATTACCACTACACATCCACCAAAATGATTAAAATGGAAAATTCAGACAATACCACGTGTTGGGGAGGGGGTAGAGAACTAGAATTCTTATGCATTGTTAGTAGAAGTGTTAGTTGATAAATCTACTTTGGAAAATGTTTGTCAGAATCTATTAAATCTGAATATATGAATACCCTATCACCCTGAAATTCAACTCTGACATATATTCCCAACAGAAGTGCACATATGTTCACCAAAGATGTGTATAACAGTGTTCATCACAGCACTATTCATTACTTCACTATTCATCTAGCCCCAGACAAGAAGTTCCCAATTGCACTTGAATGGTAGACTGGATAAATTGTCATGTATTCACACAGTGGAATATGAGAATAAACAGCCACATTGAACAGTATGGATGTCACTCACAAATATTATATGGAATTTAAAAAGCTGGACATAAACTAGCACATGTTGTATGATTCCATTTACATGAAGTTCAAAAGCAGCAAATCTAGGATAACCCTTACCCTAGGGAATGGGGAGGTGATAGTGACTGGAAGGGGATGTGAGGGGCCTCTTTGGGTCCTGGTTATATTCTTTGTCATGATCTGGGTTCTGGTTACACAGGCATCTTCACTTTATAAAAATTCATGGAGCTGTGCACTTTAGATTTGGGCATGTTTTAAACTCAATAAGACATTTTAAAAGTACTTAAATTTACCTGTTTCAGCATATCCCACCTATCCCCTCATTTAGTAGATGCTTGCTAAATATACCAACTTCAGAGGCCAAGGGTGTGATCTCAGACCACCTTGTGACCTTCTGGCCCTAATAGTGATTGAGATTTCTAACAGTTGGCATGTTAAGTCTGCCATAACTCTTATTAAGTTGTATTACAAGACAATTAACAAAAGATCCATTATGAGTTCAGTTAATGAAGGGTTTAAGGTGGCAAAGATTCAATCTCTTAAGGTTTACATTTCCAGACTCAAGGAAAATCTTCTTAAAGTACAGAAAAATCAAGCAGATTATGTTCTTGCATGTTCAGACATAAAACAATCTTCATTCAAAAGCAATGAAAAATGACTTTTTATAAAATTCCAAGTCTTAAGTTCACTGCATGAAGTCATAATTGAGATATGTTATAATAACTTTCTTAGTTGACTGGATTTTTTTCTCTTAATTTTATGGTACATAAATCTTTGTTATCAGATATGTGGAATTAGTTTATAACAAGCTACCATAAAACATTTGGACTTGAAATGAATAGGTCTTAAACAGAACTAGGAATTTTAATAAATAAATTAATGAAATAGTGAACTTAATACTCATACTTAAGTAACTCCCTTATTTTAATCTGGGAATTTGTGGAAGGTGAAATTTATGTATTAGGTCACTAGGACAGCAATGACTTTGCAGAGTTGTGGAGCTTGTGAAGCTGTGACTGAATTTTAGTGCAGGATGGAGGGGGAGGTCACTATAGTTTTCAAAAAGGTACTTAGAATTAGGAAATGGTGTAATAAAACATTATTTGAGTTGAGTTTGGAAAATTAGCATGTAGTTGATTAGATCAGTCATCTGAAAGTACAATTAACTCACTCTAATATCTGGTTTGTATTTGGAATGTCAAGGTGAACAGGAATCTCGTAAACCATCCATATTTGTGAGGGAATTCTTTTGTATGTAATAATAGCTACTATTTATTAATCACTATATATTTGGTAGTGTACTAAGACTTTACATTCATTTTCACATTTAGCCTCCCAGCAATCTTTAGGAAAGATATTACTAGCTTGTTTACAGATGAGAACTCAAAGGTTAGAAAGTGTAAGTGTAAGTGAAATTCATAATTGAGGAACCTTATGAAACACTGTAAAGTGTAGCATATGGGGACTCCAGAGTCAGATTTCTTAGGTTTCAAATCCCAGTTTTACTACTTGTTAACTATATGAATGTAGGCAAGTTTCTTAATCTGTATTTTGTCTCTTCACCTCGAAAACAGAGTGATGGTAATAGTATCTGTATTTGAGAATTGTCAGAAGTGAGACAACTTTAGAACCTTGATAAACAACTCAATAAATAATTATTTAAATAAAAAATTATTCAATTAAAGGTTCACAGGTAATGGATGCTAGAGCTAGTGAATAACATGTAGTAAATGTACCAAAAATTAACCAACTATAGTGAGTAAAACTTTTCTGGGAGAATCATGTCAACAAAAAGGATTTACAGTAAGTCTAGGATAACTGAACAAAATATAAAAATATACCTGGCAATGACCAGAAGAGAATGCTATTTGAATTCAAGGACTACAACTAATTTTTCAAAGAGAAATATTCTAAGAATAGAGAAGGAATTTCAACTGTCCTAACTTGAAAGAAAAATTCCTCAAGACTACCCGTTTTCTTTCTTCTAATTATATGTTCACCAAACAAACCCCTGATTGGTCATTTTCTCTCCTGAGTACATTAATCAACCATGGTAAAATACCCTGAGTGAATTTTCCATACAAGTTATTCTTTCTAGATTTAATTCTCTTTATAGATTGATAAATTGGGATTCTGAAGTGCCTGTCAGTTTCTCTGGGTCTTCCTAACATGTTGATCCTCAAGAGGTTAATTAGCTCTGGTGGAAATGATGAAGTTGAGTTTCTGAACCTACAAAGTGAAGAATCTGGCTTTGGATATTGTATTACAGCTCTCTATGCATGCAAGTAACACAAATCAGAATAAAATGGCTTAACAAAAAAGGGAAGCAAGTTAATATAAAAGAGAAGGTTTTGATGCAATAGGAGGGCAAGAGTGTAGTGCAGATTCAGGAAACCAAAAGAAGCCATTCATATCCAAGCAGGATGCTTTCCCAGTTGCTTGCTGCTGCCTCCCTACAGACAGCCACATTCTTTTTCTGCAGA